AAAAAAAAAAAAAAAGATATAATCTTAACATAAATATCTGTTTAAATTATTCACTAAAACAATATGCATAATATGATTTATGTTTACCTCTTAATAGTATGTATAGTATAAATGTTTTTATAATATTGTGTTACATGAATTAAAATAGCATTTATTGAATTGTAATATAAGCAAAAATAGATTAATTACATAAATAAAATAAAATAACTAAAATTCTATTTTAAATTTTGAATTTTATAATACGTGTAATTATTAGAAAATAGTTACAATTAAAATTAATTAAATAAAAATAAATAATGAATTTACTTTAAATATGAATCATTCATTAAAACTAGACTCATTAAATTTTCACATTTAGGATAGTCTTAAAAATTTGGGAACGAAGATAATGCATGTATGACAATTTTAGGAGATGCAACAATAATTTATGTTGGACAAGATATGTAGATAGATGAGTATCTTTAATCAATAAAGATGTTATTATTCCTAAGTTTTTTCATGTATTTTTTTTTTTTTAAATAATTATGACTTTAAAGACATTTTCAAATATTTATGTCTCTTATGTCATTATGACTAGAGAAAAATTATATATATCTAGGTATTATGAAATGTTATACTTGCAAATATGGCTAATTGCAACCACTATAATCAAAATAATTGAGAACGAATTATTCAAACATAATGTTTTAGCTTCCAATCTACAATAAAAAAATGATCATTATAAATTATAGTTATAACAAATTCGAATTATTTTTCAAAGAGTGATGCAAAAGGATGACATTAGAAAACTATATTTGATGACAATATCAATGATAATTATTTTAAGCAAAAGTAGGGATGAAATGTTGACGAAGATATAACATAATGTTAAGATAAAAAAAAAAAATATGTATGAAGGAATCTTCATTACATAATTCATTTAAACTGGAATTAGTAATTATTCACATTTAGGATAGTCTTGAAAATTCGAGAATGAAGATAATGGATATATGACAATGTTAGGAGATGCAACAATAATTTATGTCGGAAAAGATATATAGATAGATGGGTACTTGAATCAATAAAAATGTTATTATTCCTATGCTTTTCAAGTAAATGTTCTTTTTGAAATAATTAGTTAATTACGACTTAAATTAAAGACATTTTCAAATATTTATGTATCTCTTATGTCATTATTACTAGGGAATAATTATATATATCTAAGTATTATGAAATATTATAATTGCAAATATATTTACACTTGCAACCACAGTAATCAAAATAATTGAGAACGAATTATTTAGACAGTTTGTTAGCTTCCAATCGACAATAAATAAAAAATAATCATTATAAATTATAGTTATAGCAAATTTGAGTTATTTTCAAAGAGTATGATGTAAAAGGATGACATTAGAAAGCTAATAATAGTGATCATTATTTTAAGCACAATGAAGATATCATTAAATAACAAAATCAACTATAAATTTTTTTAGCATTTACATTTTCACTAAAAAAATATTAATTTTATTTTTGGTTTTCAACCCAATTTTTTTTTTTAATTTTATTCATCATAGAGGTCAGATAATAGTATTAAATACTATATTTCATCAATAAAATACACCATTTTTTGTTAAACTAAATGAAATAAAATTATATTATACTTTTAAATATAAACCTAATACTAAAAATAATTTGAAAAAACAAATACCACGTGTGTAGCACGTGCATCTTCCTAGTAATAATAAAAAAAGGGGTTTAGAAAAGTTGAACAATCTTAAAATTTCAGAATCGTACAAAAGAAGTAGAAATGAATTCTGCTAGCATACATAAGCCTAGTTCGAGTTCGATCCGGTTACAACTTGGTTTGCGAGAGGATTTATTAGCAATCGTTACAAGTCTCAAACATTATACATATTTAAACATTGAAAATAATTAATGGACTACAAACGAAATGCAGGTCACAAGAGTTAGAATTCCATGTGAGGTGCAGAAAACTTACAGTTCGGTTTTTAACGAGATCTTCATAATACAGAATAATGTGCCTAGTGCTGCTGAAATTCTCCACAACCTCAAAGGCCATCTTCTCCATGAGCTTTAGATCCATCACCAGTGATGTTGAGTTGATCTCAGGTTTATAACTGGAGAGAGTCTCAGCCTACACGAGAGAAAAAGGTACACCAAACCAAACAGAAATTTTGATTTCTATTAAGTTGTTTGTTTGGTTTTGAAGGTGGGTAGTAAAAAAGGGTTTGTACCTCTTCACGCGAATGAACATGGGATTTATGTGTCCCGTTCAGTAGTTTCGCGTACCGATCATAAGAATTCGCAAGCACCGAAACCATCCGTCGAAGAAGGTTTCTCCGGAAGAGGAAAATTACCGAAATGCCCCTATCGTTAAAGTATTCTGCGATTTCTTTATGGTACTCCATCACTCCCTGAATCACAAATGTGTGGTTTGCTTTTCAGTATTTTGGCGATAGGTTACTCAAATTTGTTAACAATTGATTCATCTAGAAGATTACAACATAGATAGACAATTTTTTTCTTCTTAAAAAAAAATAAAGAAAGAAAAGAAAAAACGAACAAATGCATACCTGATTAAGCATCCATTTGAAGCCAACTGCAGCTGAGCACTGGTTTTTGGAAGCACTGGTAAACCAGTCCAAGCTGTAAACTCTGTCGAGGGTCAAAATTATTGAAGAGGCATTACTTCTCCTCTCTTTGGAAGAGAATATCTCCCCATTTGAGCTCATGTTTGTATGGCTATTCAAGAGAGTCTCAAACCACCCACTACCAGACCTTTGCATGGATAGAATCACGAAAAGCCGCACGGGATTACATGCACATTCAGCCCTTCAAGCACAAGAAACAAACTTGAACTTTCAAAAATTTATCCAATTTGACTAATCACCAAGTTTTCAAGAAGCCGAACATTCTGGTTTAATTAATGTGCCCTTGAGATTAATCTAATCACAGGGAAAAAAAAAAACATAAAGTTTTGAAATTCCCCCCATTTGAATTTTTTTTTTTTTTTTTCATTTTACAATTTTGGATCTTTAAGGAGTGTTTGTAAATAATGGCAACCATCTAGACTCTGAGGGTGTAAAATTTTCAGCGGGCAGACCATAATTTGGAAAGATCATTGAGTTTGTTTCTCCCAGAGGCACACAGTAAAACAGAGAACTCCAGGAAAAGCTAAATTAAACTCTACGAAAAGCTAATTTAACTCGGGAAAGAATCATAAAAAAACTCGTAACAAATTAAAAGTAGAAAGCCTAAAAAATTGAAAACCCTGAGAAAAGACAAAAGAACTGAATGATGGGGGCCGGGGGTTCGGTATAAACTGAAATGAATGAAAAACCAAAATTACGGTCAATAGTAATTACCTGCTAAACGTAGATGGTTTGGGATAGTGCAAATAAGGAACCCGAGATTTATCGATGTCAAGATCATGACAATGGGTCCAATTAACATCCAAATTTATGAACTTGGAACTGCTGGTGTGGCCAATAGTCTGCTTGAGACATACTGAGAAAATGTAGGCACCACAAAAAATTGCAAACACTAAGACTAACTTCCGCAATGAAGCTGGCGATTTCTTGGGAGGTCTTATAACTATGGCTTCCTGTAAATGAGAACCCACAAAAATGGAGAACGATGTCAGTGTAGTGTACGAATAAAGGAACAATTACATTTAGCTAAAAATTTCATATATGCTGATCACATAATCGTCATGCATTGCTTGCTCACAAAATTTTTATAGAGACCCAAATAAAGCTAACAAAATAATTCAGCCTGTTTGTGATTTCCAATTACAATGGCATTTCACATGATTCTTGAAACCAATTTGAAAAAAGAAGATTAAACAGATAAAACTAGTAAATCTATTGATAGAATAAATGCTACATTAAAAAAGTTTCCCCATTTCCAGGCAGTAAATCTGGAAGAAGCTACAAGAAGAGGTCACAGAAAGGGAGGAACAACAGTCTCTGTCACTTAGGAGCACGCATTAGAAATGATCGAAAGAGGGGCCGGAAAAAAATAGCGTTTCGACACAATAAACCTCGTTGTTCACACTACCAAATCCATAAGAACAAGAATCTGTGTGCATTCTCAATTTCAACATCTCTGTCCTGTCTAAGAATTCATCCTCAACCCAACAAACAATTTCGATATCTCGAAGCAAATTGCTTTTTCCTTACAAGAAAACACACAAAATGTATATCCAAAGCTTGAACCTTTAAGATGACTACCAAAAACAGAACAAAAATGTTCATAATCCCAGCATACCGAAACAAGCCCACTACCACAGCAAACCCAAAAACACATAAAAACAAGTGAAAGCCACAAGATATCAAGAAAAATCAAAGGAAACAGGAAAAAAAAAAAAAAAGAAGCATTAAGAGGACTCACTTTAGCTACAATACAGATACCTTCCGCCATTAAACCTCCCAAGGACGAGAACAAAATCCCAAATGGGACCTCCCCAAAGACCTTCAGATTTACTCAAGAATCGCTCATAGTCACCTCTAACCAGTGACCTCCCCAAAAACCTTCAGATTTACTCAAGAATCGCTCACAGTCGCCTCTAACCAGTGAGTGTACAGATCAACGAACAAAGAAAACCTTCAAGCGGTACACATGACTATAATAGCATTCAATGGCTTGTTGGGTGAGATTTTTTTTTCCCTAATTGTTTTCACAATTCAGCAGTAGAGCTCGGTGGTTGGTTGAGCTTTTGGTTCATCGTTAGATACGAAGGTAATAAAGTCGAACAGCTGGTCGGCGCTCTTGCTCTACTCTGTGTGTGTGTGTGTGTGTGTTCTTCTGCTTTGTCTGTTGGATTTATTTCTTTAAATTGTTTGGTGGGGATAAAAGTAATTTTCAATTTCTTGGGGACCGTTTGGTAAAGTTTGAAATCTTCAATTTCTATAAATTGGGGACTGTTGTCACAATTCTTTTTCGGTAAATATTCATTAAAAATTAAATTAAGGGAAATTGAACAACTTATAGGAGAATAATATATACATAGAAATATGCTTTGATTACACTTCATATATATGAAAGTAAAAAAATAATTACTGGTTAGAATAGATGAGTAGATTAATATTAAATAAATTTTAATGTATACATTAGTGACTGATTTTTATTTTAAAAATATAAATTGATAAATTAATTTAAAATTAATGTGATGATTAAAAGCATGAAGTTTCTAGGTCGGAAAATGTTACAGTGTCGTTATGAAACCATTATGTCGAATAGTCCCGTAATGGTACCGTAAAATCTCCACATTTATACATAACATAGTTTTAATAAATTTTAGGTTTTGGCTTAGTTTGGTGAGACTTTAGTGGTTTTTGAGGTCATTGAAGATGATTAAAAGCCGTCTTAACAAAACACAGGTTTTTTAGGCGTGCAAAATTGCAGCTGACGTAGACTTTTTCTTCGAGGCATTAAATCTTGAGCAACAACATGGTCACGAGATATCCATTTGACTCTTTGTCCCCATGGAATTTATTAAAAAAAAAAGAATAATTAATGGATATCATATGTATATGTACGACTTATAATTACAATATAAGTATTATAAGAAATAATAATGATTAATTTAAACAATAGAGGCTCGTTTGGTAGGATAATTAATATTTAGGGCACGACTGTATATAAATTGAATAGCAAAAGAATCAAGCAAAACTTAAATTTAACTCAACTTTAATTCAACTCTACTATCATCAATATTATGAATATAATTAAATACTAGCAATCAATCATTCTTACATATCACATCAATTTTAATTCACTATTCATTCACTCAAATAATTCTAACTAATTATCACTTCCAATCATTTTACTCATACTTTCCATCAAATCAACTTTAACTATTTTATTTAAATATTATTTTAATATATCCACTAACAACTAATCATACATATTTTCTCAAAATCTACTATAGTTAAAAAATCAACCAAATGAAAACTAGTTCAATCTATAAACCATCACCCCTTTAGTGTTCTAAATATTTGGCTTAATAACTAACTCGAGTTGGCCTTTAGATCACCGAGTCGGTGTTCAATTGTTGAATCAGGTAAACTTAATTTCAAAATTATATATAAAATATATAGCCATTAGATGTTAGATTGCATTCTTAGATATACATTTCGATAGATTATAATTGCCACAAAATTAGAGAATATAATTGTTCTTCTTTTCTCTCGCCTCTCTCTAACCCTATCTCTCTCTAAAAAAGAAAACTCAAATCTAAGCTTCTGGCCTTCCTCGAGCATGGCATCTCCGGACCATCTCGACTGCGGCCATCCTCGGGCCGTGCGGCCGACGTTCGAAGGCTCGTCGGACTGCGGCTTCTTCTTCCCGGGTGAGGCTGCGGGTTCGCCCTATTTGGATTTCACCTCCTAATAGGTCATCACGGAGGGTCTTGGCCGGCAGTTTCTTGGTGTCTGGCGGCGGCTATTTTCCAGCGAGCCTGCGACTAAGGGTTGTGGTTTTCGATCATCACTTCTGAATTTGGTGGTGGTCAGGGCTGAGATCGGCCCGTTTTGTTTCCCTCCCTCTCCCGTTTTCTCTGCTTTTGAGTGTGTTGGTTGCATTGGCGGCGTCGATCAGGGCCGGGTCTCATGTCCTGGGCTCAAGTCGTGGGGTTGGGATGGTGGAGCTTGTTGTTGATCTCCGGCTACGTGTCTAGGAGTTGTCTACCGGGCAGGGCAATGTTTTTAGTCTCGAGTCTAGTTAGACGATTATTTTGCAGTTTCTGGCTTTGCGACTTGGACCGGTCTTGTCCGTGTGGGTGGTTGCCCGTGGGTGTCGAAGTCAAGTTTTGTTCGATTCAATTTCGTTGTCTTTAGTGTATTTTTTTGAGTTTCTGTAGTTATGTTTGTGTTGAGTCATAGAAGTGTGTTTGTGTTTTTTTTTTTTTTTTTTTTTT